GATTATACATATTTAATTTAAAATAATTCGAATATATCACTTTTACCATATAATAGACTATTATTTACTCTTAAAATTTAAAATCTAAAGTGACATTGACATTTACATCAAATGCAGCTCTTTATAACATATTTTATATCCAAAAGAAAAATAATATAAAATATGACGTCCTAATATAATGTTCAATAATGTTCAAGCACTACACATGCCCCTTTTATATGGCCTGTGTTAGAAGCAGTTGTATCACAACATAAATCTTGTTGGTTATCGAAAATACCTCATTATTTGAGTGCCCGATAAACTGCTTCTCCTTTGTTATCCTCAATTTTAGGTTCTCAACATTAATACATTTCAAAAAATTATTAAAAGTAACTATATCTATACTGTTTTTTAATAAAGAATTAATTTACCAGTAAGCTATTGTAACAATCTTCTATCCCAATTAACCAACAACAGTCAACAATACTTTCTTCTAATACCTATAGGTATTGTTTTTACATAATTTACGTTAACTTACATAGATTGTGACATTTTAATCCAACGTTTTGGTTGATATTATTTTATTTATATTTAAACAATATGTGCCTACACCAGCTGCCAATATATATATATATAATGTGTGATATTTAACTGTCTGATTGTGAACATCCCATATAACTAAATAAGTCTAAGTTTAAATTATAAAAAAATCATGAAATTGATTTTACAATGTTGTTATAAAAATGTTTGAAATAAATAAATATATTTTATTTATTTTTCTTACTCAAATAGAAAGGGAATTGATGATTTCTTTAAAAATGAATCGAAACTTACGGTCAACGTAGGTATACATTTCATAGTCTACAGATAACCGTTGAACAATGTTAAATTTTCATTAAAAAATGTCACCAATTTCGGCTTTGAAGATTGTAATTCATGAAACACCATTATAATAATATGCATCTATATTATCCTTCGTTATTATTATGATCACACCGGTTAAATAAATCCTATTCTGCTCCATAAAATAATTCAGATGATTTTGTTAGTGTAATATGCATTCAACACAATATTTAAAAGGTAATTTAAATATAGGTATGTAAAAAAAAAAGGGTTTTTAGTTATAAATAAGGTTTTTCACAAATATTCCAAATCCAATAATATAAGTGTCAATTAAATATATTGCAATGTACATCACATATACAATATACTTCAATTATAATTTGATGAGGTAAACCATAACACATTCTATATAGAATAATATGTAATTATTTATCTACAAAAATAATTTTGAAAGATATTTCATACTCATTTCTGAATTGATTATATAATTATCAATAACACAATGAGGTATTACTTAGTATTTTATAATAGCCATTAATCATCACAATATTTAAATGCTTTGTAAATAATTGTATTTAACTTTATATTGATTACCACTAAAGCGACTATAATTAGGTATCTTATAAAAAAAATTATATATATAGTATACGGTTATTGCGGTTAATGTTTTATAACTCATTATATTTGTTGTTATGGAAATAGATTAATCAATCGATTGGCTGTAAAGTTATTTTTTCTCAGTTTATTAATTTTTTTAAAAAAAAAAAAAAAAAAAAGGTCTCATCGTGTCAACCAAAATGTCCCATATGGTAATACGTATCAGAGGAAAAAAAACTGTAGTTTTTCCTTCATTTTGTAGAGAGCTGCCTTATCCTAATTAGTTTAATGTCCCATACCCCAGTATCCCATAATATATTTTCTATTACAGTATCCAAGTCGAGGTTCATGAATTTTTCAGGACAACAGTTTTTACACTCTGGTGAGTTAGCGCCCTTTCTTTTATTTCTTTGGCGTATTTTTTTTTTTTTTTTAATGAGGGTATAGGTAGGTAATTACTTTTCCAGTAATAACATGATATTTTTAAATGATTTTTATTAATTGAGCTATTTTAAAAAAAGTTATAATACCTCAAAAGTCGAATATATATAATGTTTTTGTGACGTTAATTATCAGTATTAAATACTATGGTACTTAATTGTATTATTGTATTATTGTTCTAATGTATAATGTACATTGTACATCAAGTGTTTGTTTATTGTAGAAATAATAAACAATTAATTCAAACAATCCCAACATATTTCTTTTGTGGTTACCCACCATATAACACTATAGAGCTATATGCAATAGTTTTATGTGTTTTTATAATAATATAGAATACATATTTTAATAGTCCAACTATAGGGATTAGCGACTCCATTAAAAATAAGTTTGGTTATAAGTAAACTAGATCAATAAAACTTTTAAGTACCCAACTATTTAACTATTTTTTTTAAATGAGCATAAAAAAATGTATTATAATAATAAAATTAATGCAAATAATACAGTTAAAAAACAAGTCGCTTATAATCTATGTTTGAGGGGCACCAAAATGTTTTTGTATGCAATATCTATAGCTTATAATATATAAGAAACATGTACTAAAAATATAAATATTTTATTTTTATTTTAAAGCTTAACATAAAATAAGCCTTTGAAGTTTTTTCGAACGTCAAAAATAGGTAGGTTCTCATATTTCAGGTAAAATATCTATTTCCTTTTATACGAATTTCTGATTTGTTATCACCTTATTTTGTTTGAATTATTGTGACATAAGTCAAATGTTAACTAGGTACCTACAGAAAGTTTTGATTATGTCTGTACTCAGTAGGATGCATCAAATATTTTAAACGATACCTACAACTTGGCATTTTTTTCAAAATATTTTTTCTATATTCTTACTATGGTAACGCTTACAAAATATAAATAATTGATCTTACTAATAACAATATATGCACCTAATTGGCACAAATTTAAAAAGTACTTTGATACTTTGATGAGACGCTTGACCAACAACGGGTAACTCGGCAGTATCTGTGTTCTTCGTGATATTTTAATATTAATTTAGTTAATTATATTTTAATTGTCTTAAATCATTTGAAGTATAATACAAAGAAAATATAAAAGTATTAATTTAACTTCATAAATTTGATTTTATGAGTTATTACGGAACGCGTTAACAGCTTTTATTGTCTTCATGATATAAGTTATTATGGTGAAATTATGATGAATTATTAGGAACATTCGAAAATAATATGAGTTTAAAAGTTTTATGATCGGATTGTTCAAAAACGTGTATCCGAGAAGCGAATTTTTTTATTTTTTTTATTTACAGTCGATTCCTTATTATTATCTGACCTCGGTAATAATGGGGAAAGTTTTCACTTAATCGTTAACCTCGGTGTCGGCCGTTGTCTAGTTTTGTTTTGGTTTTTTTTTTTTTTCACTTTTTTTCTCATACAATATTGATTTCCGTGTCAATGTATTTTGGAAAACTTCCAGTCGGAGAAAATTACAAAACGATTGCACCATCGGACGAGTCGCCTGCACGTGTATATATACTATTATACGTGACACATTTGTATATTGAATCGGGCACTTGCGTAATAATGCATGAATGCAAACGTACAAGTTTTAGTGACGAGCACAAAAAAATATAAAGAATCTTCTATCGCAGCATTCGCAGGGCACGCTCGCACCGGGCTGGAATTATTATTTCACTTTGTCAGGTGTTGTGGCGGAAACGGGTTTTCGTTATGAATTGTTCAGTAGGTACGCGACAACTATATACGACAGACCAATTTTTTTTCCCCCAACGGTGTCTGAGCCTCTCAAATAATTCCCAAACATCCACGGGAAAAAAATGTTCATAGCGTATAGGTACTGACTGTTGCAGGGATACTTCAATCATAATATTATGTGTATTATTTTAAAAAGTTCTATAAATTATATTATTCTGTTTTGCAGTCAATTATTGGTTTATCTTTATTTGGCCGACATCCTTCAAACCGGATATAAATGCGTCTTACTTTAAGGTATCTATCAACAATAATTAAAACACCAACTCAATTGGAATTCTTTGATGTTTTAAAAATTGTGTGTTTGTTTTTTATCCACTGTCGTCTATTGTTTTCGAATGTCCGTCATGCGTTTATTCATTATTGTTGAAGTAGTACTGTTCGGAACGTGAAGCAGTTATACGGTGTCCCGGTTCATATCGGCAAATGCGTTGCTGCAGTATGCAGGCCGCCCGGCACCTATGACCAGTACCGTTCGACCTACCGTCCGACTCACCACGTTACCTACCGACCGACCGTTCATACCGACCGTTTATATTTGTTACCGTTACCGTAATTGTGTTTTGTGTATCTTTCGGAACACGTACCGTCATCACTACCAGTACCGTCCACCAACCATTACCTTAAGCCGTTGATTGTCCAGCGGACTGCTGTCGCCCCAACACGGTTTTTATATACATATATTTGTTATTATTATTGTCATTATTTCGTAATTAGTTTACCTAAGTTTATTATTATTTATTTGTATTAATTATTGCCCTACGCTGGCCAGCACTATTGTGCCCCCTACTTCACCTAAAGTATTATTATCATTTTTATTTGAATAGTAGCACCCGGTGACACCGTGGCAAACATAAGTTGTCGCACCATTATTTACCTTTTTGATTCTTACATACCGATTATACAGTCCACTCCTATCTACAACCATTTTAACATGGTCCTTCGTACCTAGGATGTTCCTAAGAGATTGAACAGTGACCGGGGTATAAAAAAAAAAAAAAAATATTTCCGTAAGTTAAAACGTATATGATACACATAATATAATAATATAATAATTAAATTTAAATTTAAGTTATATAATAAGTTATTGGTGCAGCGACCTTATTACGTAATCGCCGTGTGAAAAAAAGTCGTCTTGGACTTTGGACCTGCACGACATAATAAGCGATTAGTGTCTTGTCGCGGAGATAAAAGTACGCTCGCGCGACGTCACCGTCGTTGTATTTATAATTCGTTAGTAGGTCATCGACTTCGATAGTAATTTATAAATAATATACTATATACCTATATAATAATCTATCAGATTATTATTATTATTTGAAATTTTTGTCTAACACCACTGCAATGGGTGTATACGAAGAGTCAAAAGAACGTTTGGTTGGTCTTCAGAATAAAGTACAACGCGTGTATGACGCCGGTGAAGCACTTACAAAAGACCAATCGAAGACAGCGAGATCAAAATTCAAAATAATGTATGCGTCGTTAGAAAGCATATCTAACGATTTTGAAACGCATCTTACAGTCGTTATACGTCAGCAGTGTAAAGGCGGCGCAAGCGGACCAGACGGAATAGACACAGAAAAAGAACGTGCTACATTTGAAGAAAAATATATTGGTTGTAAAATCCTCGCAGATGAGTATTTACCAAAGTCAATTGCCGAGGCTAGTTTGAACCAAACGTTTATGGAGAAAAAAGTTCCTCAGATCAATATTCCGGTAGAAAAATTGCCAGTACCTCACTTCAATGGCGACCAAAAAGAATATACGAGTTTCCGCAACCAGTTCGATGTACTAGTACATAATAATGAAGTTTTTAGACCTGTCATTAAGTTTAGTTATTTAAAGGCGTACTTAGAAGGTGAACCGTTAAAACTTATAAACAATCTAATGCTCAGTGATGAGAATTACGAGCTCGCATTGAATATTTTAGACAAGCGGTACTCAAATAGGCGCACAATAGCACACGACCACTTCGACCAGCTTTGGACAGCTCAAAAGGCCATGCTAGGTGACTCAAAATCAATACGACAATTATTGAACACCATCACCGAATCAGTCGGAGCATTAAAAACCCAGAAGTATGCTGTTGACCAATGGGACCCAATATTATTATACTTATTTCAAAAAAAATTGGATGCCCCACTAAGAGGTCAATGGGAACTATTAGTCGATACCAACGACGATCCAACCGTCGAGGACTTCGTAACATTTTTGACCAAGTTTTGTAAAGCGGCAGGTGCTGGCCAGTCCAGTGCAAGTGGACGTGAAAAAGCATCAACTACAAAACCTGACAAAATCACAACACTGCATACTACACAATCGAAGTTCAAAAAACCTAAACCCATGCACGCTAATGCAAATGAACAAAAAAAATCATTCTCGTGTCAAGTGTGTAAGGCAACGCCGGGACATTTATTTATTTATTGTCCGGACTTCAAACAAAAAACACCAGCCGAAAGACATCAGTTGATAAAGGATCTCAATCGATGTTACTTGTGTTTCAGTGAACACACGTCGGTAAACTGCAAGAGTACACGAGTGTGTGAGAGGTGTGGGGGACGACATCATTCTTGGCTACATTTGGACAATAATGCAGTGGAGGACCAATCAAATACTTTATTGTCCTCTGTGGGCAATTTGCCAATACGCTCACAAGTGCTTATGTCTACCGTAGAAATTCTCATACAAGACGCCAATGGGTGTTATCAAAGAGCACGAGCATTGTTAGATTCTGCTAGTGAGAGTAGCTACATGACCGAAAGTTGTCGACATAGACTAGGTGTATCGCGGCAGAAGTGTCATTTAGCAGTTAGTGGCATATCTGGAGTGAAAGTACCCACGATAAAAGCTCGAGCGCAAGTAGTTATTCGCCCTGTACGGCACCATGAACAGCAAATGACAATCGAAGCGTATGTAGTAACACAAATTACCGGGTGTACGCCGTCCAAACATATACGAGATGCAAATTGGGTGCATCTAAAAGATCTTGAACTAGCCGATCCAAATTTCAACGAACCATTACCCGTAGACGTACTGCTAGGCGCCGAAGTTTTCCCCTACATCATACGAAGTGGGCGACGGGAAAATTTACTAAGTGAGCCAGTTGGTATCGAAACAGTGTTCGGTTGGGCTCTAATGGGAAACACTGGTAACACTAATCCTAAGAGAAGCACTACGTTATTAACATCTTTGGACAGTGTAGATCTTGTGTTACGACGGTTCTGGGAAATAGAGGAAGTACCAAATGCGTCAAAGACGAGTCCAGCAGAAGAGGACTGTGAGCGTATTTATCATTCTACGACTACACGAGAATCAGACGGTCGATACGTTGTACATTTACCATTCAATTGCAAACCGCCGCAGCTTGGACAGTCACGACAAATGGCCCTCAACCGGCTTTATCGTTTAGAATCCCGACTAGACAAGTCACCGCAGTTACGACAACAATACAATACTGCCATGCAGGATTATCTCGATAGCGGTCACATGCAAATAGTACCAGAAGCCACACCCGAACCGGAACAGGCTTATTACACTCCACATCAAGTAGTGATTAAACCTGACAGTACTACTACAAAAGTGAGAGTTGTGTACGATGCGTCAGCTACTACTTCGAACGGGAAGTCGTTGAATGACAACCTTTATCCTGGTAAAAAATTACAACAAGACTTGCCGGGTATAATAATCAGGTTCCGGGTACATGAAGTTGTGGTTACAGCTGACATTAAGCAAATGTTCAGACAAATCATCGTTACTCCCGCACATAGACAATATCAGCGGCTCCTTTACCGATTTCAAAGTTCAGAACCTATTCAAACTTTTGAAATGACCACTGTGACCTTCGGCCAACGATCTTCACCATTCTTAGCAATAAGAACGCTACTTCAATTAGCCAACGACGAAGCAGGTGGCTACTCGGATGTTCAACGAGTTCTGCGTAACGATCTGTATGTGGACGATGTGGTCACTGGTGCCGACTGTGTAGAAAGTGCGCTTCAACTTCAACAAAATCTCATAAAAGTTCTAAAGAATGGGCAGTTTGAACTTCGTAAATGGTCCAGTAACTCGGCTAAGGTATTAGACGCCTTACCCAAAGAACATCGACAAAACCAAGACGTTGCGTTTAACGGAGGTGAAATTGAGTTTACCAAAGTACTTGGTTTAAAGTGGGAGCCAAATAGTGACGTATTAACCTATCAACACCAAACTAATCCTATACAGTTTAACAAACGTCATATTCTATCGGAAATCGCGCGTATTTATGACCCTATTGGCCTGTTAGCACCCGTAACCACTCATCTCAAGAAGCTTATGAAATATTTATGGTCACTGGGAGTTGGATGGGATGACCCATTGCCCCAAGACGCGATGGATGCTTGGAAGTGTTATCACAATGAATTACCACTAATAGGACAAGTACGAGTGCGACGACAAGTTACTTGCACCGGATCGACCTACGAACTACATGGATTTTGTGACAGCTCGGAGATTGCCTACGCCGCTGCTGTGTACATCTTAGCTCGAAGACCAGACGGGACCATGTATTGTCAGCTTCTAATGGGCAAATCAAAAGTAGCACCCGAAAAAAAGTTGTCCATTCCCAGATTGGAATTATGCGGAGCACTACTCCTCGCTCGAGTTATCACTTATGTGCGTACCAACCTAACTACATTACAGTTAAGCCGCACCACTGCCTGGTCGGACTCAACAGTAGCTCTAGCATGGATAAAAACACCAACTTCGAAACTAAAAACATTTGTAGCAAACCGTGTTGCCCAGATACAGCATATGACGTCACCAGATACATGGAGACACGTGCCGACTGCACATAATCCGGCAGACTGTGCATCGCGCGGTTTGACCCCAGGAGAATTAGTCAACCATACAATGTGGTGGACGGGGCCAGACTATCTGAAGAAACCAGAGGAGTTATGGCCTAAAATCGACATAATCACATCAGATGAGAACGAAAAAAATGAACACGTTGAGACCAAAATAGTTACACTGATGACTACTAAAACCATGACCGAATGCCCACTCCTATATCAATCGGACAATTGGCCTAAAATTCTGCGTTTAACCTCTTACTGGCTTCGAGTGCGTGATTGTTTACGGAAGAAGGTCGTGCCAGATAAAGCTGTTCCACCCACCACAGTGGAGACAACCAATGCGATGTGGGCTCTGGTTCACTGGACGCAAAGAGTTTTCTTCGCAGAAGAGATAGAAAACCTGCGGAACCACCGTAAGTGTTCCATAAAGTTACGGAAATTGGCCCCCTTTTTGGACAAACAGAATCTACTTCGAGTGGGAGGACGCCTGCGACATTCAGATTTGCCCTACAATGAAAAATACCCAGTGCTTTTGCCTAAAGAAGCTCGCTTGACGGCAGTTCTGATTGACTACGTGCACCGTAGTAATTGCCATCCAGGTCCCAACGCAGTACAAAACATTCTGCAACAGTCCTTTTGGATAATATCGGTGCGAGGTGTTATCCGAAAGAGAATACATCGTTGCATACCTTGTTTCCGAGCTAGTCCTCGGTCCCCACAGCCATTTATGGGGAACCTTCCACGTGCGCGTTTGGACCACGTAAAGGCCTTTAACAAAACCGGCGTAGACTTTGCAGGTCCTTTCAATGTAAAGGCCGCACTGTTACGAAAACTTCGCATAACAAAAGCATATTTGTGCGTCTTTGTGTGCATGTCAACCACCGCAGTGCATTTGGAACTCGCATCGGACCTTTCTACACCGACGTTCATGGCAGCTCTAGATCGGTTTCTTGCACGTCGAGGGCAATGTTCGGACATGCATAGTGACTGTGGCACGAACTTTACTGGTACTCAACGGTATCTGAGTGAAGTTCATGACATCATCAGTTCACAGTCCTACACGCGTCATGTAACTGAGAAGCAGATAACATGGCATTTTAATCCACCATCAGCCCCTCACATGGGTGGAATGTGGGAAGCAGCTGATAAGTCGGCGAAAACATTGTTGAGAAGAGTCATACAAGATCAAATACTGACATACGAAGAGCTGAATACCATTTTGCATCGAGTAGAAGCGTCTCTAAACTCACGACCCCTTGGTGCATTATCGTCAGACCCCAATGATTACACGCCGTTAACCGCTGGCCATTTTATATCGATGGGACCGCCGGCTAAGATACCAGTACCAGACAACGAAGATCGTCCGGTCTCCGTCAGCTTGCGACAACGATGGACACTGGTTAAACAAATCCAACAACACTTCTGGCAAAGATGGCAGCGGGAGTATTTAACAACGTTGCAACCACGCAAAAAATGGCTGAAAATAGCCATAGACCTCAAGGTGGGTCAACTTGTTCTAATCAAAGAACCATCACCAGCCCTCACGTGGAAAACCGCTCGTATCGTGAAAGTTTACCCAGGAACGGATGCCATAACCCGGGTCGCTGATGTCAAGTTGGCCAACGGCACCGTTCTACGTCGTCCCGTGGTCAAGCTATGCCCTTTGCCACTATCCGATTGAAGGTCGCTACCTTCAAGGAGGCCGGTATGCCTTGCCTTGCTTTGGATGAGGGGAGTTTCCCATTTAGCACAAGTTTCGGGGTGTACCCATACCTTGGAGTAGAAGGTGTGTTGGAGAGTAATTACATTAAATTTTCAGGTCTCTTCCTTTTCCACTGGATAGTGGCCTTGGAACGGCCGATGGATTTGATGTGTTGGTGATTGGAGGTTTTTGTTTTGTTGAACATGATCTTCGATGCCCTGATTATTTGGTTTTGGAGAGAGTCGATGTTTGATGAATTTCTAATTGTGGTGTTCCTTATGAACCAGGGTGACGCTGTTATTGTTCTTAAAGATATATTTTGGATCGCCTCGAGACGTCTCCAGTCTCGATTTGAGATAAGAGCGCCCCAAGCTGGCCCTGCGTATGTTAGGTTTGGTATGATGTATAATTTGTGTAGAGTTAATCGCTGACGGAGTGAGAGGTGGCTTCGGGAGTTCAGTAAGGGGTAGAGTGCAGCCCTGATTTGCCTGGTCTTTTTTTGGATGGCCAAAACGTGTTTGTGGAACGTCAGTCTTGAGTCTATGGTTATTCCCAAATATTTAACCTGTTGGCTCCAGGGTACTGGGTGATTGTTTACAAGGAGCTCTTCCAAGTCTTTTGACGTTTTATCACCAAACAGTATTGCGACCGTCTTCTTAGGGTTGATCGATATTCTCCATCTCTCCAGCCAGGATAACGATCTATTTAATTGGGATTGGATTTTTTCCATGGCAAATTTTTTACTCATACTTGAGTAGAAGAACATTGTGTCATCTGCGAAGAGGTTGATTTTGATTCCAGGATTCGTTGGTATATCGTTGATGTAAATACTGAATAGTAATGGGGACAGGCAGGAACCTTGTGGGACACCGGCTTTAATGTTCCGAGGGGACGATGACGTTGTTGATAGTTTGACCGAGAATGTTCGATCTGTTAAGAAGACTTTGATCAGATTTACAAGTTGGACTGGTACACTTAAGGTTAGGAGTTTGTATAGAACGCCTTGGTGCCAGACTTTGTCAAACGCCTTTTCGAAGTCTAGAAAGATTGCCGCTGTTCTTTCCTTTCTATTGAAGGTGATTGCCAGATCGTCGACAAGTTTAGTAAGTTGGATTGTTGTAGAATGTTCTGGACGAAAAGCGTATTGCTCCGGTCGGATGAAGGGGGAAACGTATGACTTGAGACGTTTTAGTATAAGAATCTCGAACAGTTTCGACATTGTGTTGAGTAGTGAGATGGGTCGATGGTTTGCTGGATCTGATTTGTTTTTCCCCGGCTTTGGAATCATGACCACGTTAGCATGTTTCCATACATTAGGAAAGTGTGATAGACGTATGCAGCTGTTGAAGATTTTGGTGAGATGCAATATAGTGCGGTTAGATGCATGTCGCAGAGCTGTATTGGGTATCCCATCCGGGCCTGGCGCTTTCTTCCTCGGAAGGGTTTTTATGATGGATTTGACTTCGTTTGGAGTAATGTGTTGAATTGTTGGGGGATAGGATTGATTGAGGATCTTTAGTTTCTCCTTTACCATTGAAGTAGTCATGATGTCGCCAGCTGGGCAGGTGAATTGGGTTTCAAGTGAGTTAGCAAATAGTTCGGATTTGGATTCTTGATCAAAAATAAGGCCGTTTGGGCCGAGAAGGGGTTCTGTGGCCGCTTGCTTGTGTGTTAGGCTTCTAGCGATTTTGTATACTTTAGGGTCATTTGGTTTCAGATTATCTAGTAGATTATTCCATTCTTCTTCGCGGTGGACTCGAAGCAATTCACGAACTACTTCAGTATGTATATTTAGTCGGCGTTTTGCATCAGGATTTCTTGTATGTTGCCATATTCGTCGAAGTCTTTTCTTCTTAGTGATTTCGATTTTGATGGCTTGCGGAAGGTCCTTGTGAGGGTTGCAAATGCGAGTGGTAGAGTTGACTGAGAGTGCTGACTTGAATAATTCAGCTATTTCTATTGCGGTTTGATCGAGATCTGTTGTTGTGTTGATAAGTGGATTTGGGTTAGTTATGGACTCGTGGAGGTTAACCGAGAAATTTTTCCAATTTATTAGGGTTATTGTTTTAAATGGTTGAGGAAATGATTGGTTGTATACATTTAGTAGTATAGGGTTGTGGTCTGATGATAGTTCGTTCAGATTTTCGATATCGAATTGCATGTTAGCAATTCTCATTAGAGCTACATCTAAAACGTCCGGCCTATGGTTATGGTTATCAGGGAAGTGAGTTGGAGTTATGGGAGCTGTCACAAAATAGTCATTTTGGTCCATATGGTTGAATAGACTTGATCCAGCTGTGTTTGTGGTGTTGCTATGCCATATTGGGTGTTTGGCATTTAGGTCTCCCGCAACGATAACACATGTGTTTGTGTTGAGTAGGGAGTCTAGGTCTGTGTGTAGTAGGGTTGAACCGGGGCTTTTATATGCAGCACTAAGTCTAATCTCACGTCCGTTATATTGAATAAGAATAGTGGTGTTTTCAATTGAGATAGTATTGATATATGTTGAAGAATGAGTGATAGAGTGGTGGATGAGGATTGCTGTGCCTCCACAGTTAGATTGTCCTGCGTTGATACGGTTGTTTGTGTAGGTGTGGAAGTTTGGGATGTTAAATGACTTCTTGTGATGAAGATGTGTTTCGTTTAAGAGAAGAATATCTATTTTTAGTTGGTTTATCAGCTGGATAAGTTCAAGGCGTTTGTTTCCTATACCTTGGCAGTTCCAGTATAAGATCCGGAGGGAGCTATTCATGGTGGTTGATGATGGAGATTATGGCCGAGATAGCCGTCATAACTGTTTGTTTAATGTCTTGTGATTCAGAAATTTTCCCAATTGCCTCGGTTAGGAGGTTTGTGAAAAACTGTTTCGGGATTGTAACTGTTGGTTCCGACTGTTTAGTTGATGTGATTGACGCATATGAAGGGATTGACTGAGTGTTTTTTGGTGATGTCTTTGATTCTGTAACTGAAGGTGCTGGAGCGATGTGGTTTGATTTTAGATGAGTAGGATTTGATTGTTTTTCAACCATAGCAGATATGTACGCTGGGCACTTGCGGTAGTTTGCCGTGTGGGGGCCACCGCAATTGCAGCATTTAGGTGGTTGATCTGCGGTTTTTGAGCAAGTTTTTGTTTCGTGGTTGTTGCCGCATTTTACACATTTTGGCGTGTGATTGCAGTGATTTGATGAGTGGCCGAAGCCTTGGCATGCGAAACATTGTGCAGGCCCGGAAGAGCGATATGGTTCTACTCTGATTGTAATATAAAATAGTGCAGGTAGGTCGAAGATAAGCTTGCTGGATGGGTTGTTTGGAAGTGTTATCATGAACATGGGTAGTTTGCGGCCGTCTTTTAGAAATTGGCGTATGGTTCGGATTTCAAATCCTTTGAGTTCAAGTTCAGTTTTAACCAGGTCTTCAGAGAAAGATGGAGGGATACCTCTGAGGAGTACTTTCAGAGTGCGTTCTTCAGCCAAAGAAAAAGTGTGGAATGGAATTTTGTTGTCTGAGAGGATGGACTGAGCTTTTCGGAAAGTCTCAGTGTCGATAACTTGTAAGTGTATAACATTTTTAACAAGTTTTGCTGTAAGGTCTTTTCCAGGAAACATGGGTATGACGAGTTTTGACGCTGATGGCCATGTATTAATATCGATAATGATAGGTGGTATTTTTGGCGATGAGTTTGCTTGATTACTTATTCGAGGTTCAGATTTAGTAACATCAGTATTTTGAATTGAGTTTGATGTGTCGGTATCGTTAATGGAGGTTTCTTGGATACTACTTTCGGAGTTTGTGTGAGTGGATGCAATGTCGTCGTCCGAGGTTATGAAGTTTTCAGATCCCGAGGAATCAAGATCATTGGTGACCTGAGCTTCAGATAATGTTGGTGGTGGATTGTTTTTCGGTGGAGTTCTTTTTTGTTTCCTGGTTCGGACCATAGTAGATGTGGGTTTACCTTTGCTTCGATGCAAGACCCGGCCTCGTGACCCCTCGGGTTCACTTGCCTCGTGGTCAGGAGGGGGGACTAATGAAAGTGCTGATACTTACGAAGTATGTTGATTGGTTTTTGAAACGGGTGCAGCCAAGCGTTCCGAGTACGACGCCGAACGTCACTTCGAGGTGGTGGATCAACCGTCGACTGAGCCGGACTATATATATTGATGATAGGCCGGTATGTTCGGAACGTGAAGCAGTTATACGGTGTCCCGGTTCATATCGGCAAATGCGTTGCTGCAGTATGCAGGCCGCCCGGCACCTATGACCAGTACCGTTCGACCTACCGTCCGACTCACCACGTTACCTACCGACCGACCGTTCATACCGACCGTTTATATTTGTTACCGTTACCGTAATTGTGTTTTGTGTATCTTTCGGAACACGTACCGTCATCACTACCAGTACCGTCCACCAACCATTACCTTAAGCCGTTGATTGTCCAGCGGACTGCTGTCGCCCCAACACGGTTTTTATATACATATATTTGTTATTATTATTGTCATTATTTCGTAATTAGTTTACCTAAGTTTATTATTATTTATTTGTATTAATTATTGCCCTACGCTGGCCAGCACTATTGTGCCCCCTACTTCACCTAAAGTATTATTATCATTTTTATTTGAATAGTAGCACCCGGTGACACCGTGGCAAACATAAGTTGTCGCACCATTATTTACCTTTTTGATTCTTACATACCGATTATACAGTCCACTCCTATCTACAACCATTTTAACAAGTACCTACAATATTAAAATGATATATAGATATATTAATAATTATTACTGTGAGGGAACACAGAAGTTAAAAACATATAATAGTGGAGAGAGTTATACCTCATGCGAATCGTCTTGTCTGTTGATATTCAAGCTTTCAATAAAATATAATTAACACGCATTTCCCCTTTAAAATTCGACTGCAGAATCTCTGGCTATATACCATCATCACGGTAACGCGGATAAGCGTTCGTCTGCGGTTCAGTGCGCAAT